AGGCCACAGGACAGGGACAGCCCCGAAATCTCAGTGTGGTGTGGGGAGTGACAAGCCTTGTGACGCATACGTGGTGGGGGTGGAGCTGCTTCCAGGTGACATGATGGCTATGCAGGGCAGGAGGCTGGTAGGGGACAGCCTTCAAGGAAGCCAGGACAGTACCCCGAGGCCAGGCCTGAACTGCTGGGCTTGGTGAGGCACCTGCTTCTGGGCAGTGCACAGATGAGGGGCTGAAAACTCAGGAGACAGCACCCAAAGGCAAGGCGGGGACCTGGCAGAAGTGGCAGGAAGGGCAAAGGAGGGGGGAGAGGGAGATGGCACTCACCCCGCTGAGCTGACCGGGGCAACAGAGGGGCCTTCTCTGAAGCAGATCTGGGGGTGGGCGGAGAGAGAAGGAGACTGAGTTCAGCCCACCACAAGTTGAGTGTGAGGAGCCTTGGAGGACAGTGGCCTGATCCAGATTTCAACTGGACAGAACAGGCCTATAGAGTAGCTGCCAAAGACCCAGGCCCTGGGCCAGATCAGGCCCAGCACCTGCTTTCACATTGCCTGAAAGCTACAAACTGCTTTTAAAGTTTCTTTCTTTCTTTCTTTTTTTTTTTTGGAGACGTAATCTCATTTTATTGCCCTGGGTAGGCTCAAGCAATCCTCTTGCCTCAGCTTATCAAGTAGTGGGGACTACAGGCATCTACCACAATGCCCAGCTAGTTTTTCTATCTAGTAGAGATGGGTTCTGTCTCTTGCTCAGGCTGGTCTCAAACTCCTGAGCTCCTGCAATCCACCTGACTCGGCCTCCCAGAGTGCTGGGATTATAGGCATGAACCACCGTGCCTAGCCAGTGCTTTTAAATTTTTAAGTGGTTACAAAATTAAAATTAATATCCATTTGGTATTATCAAAAATATATAAACCCCCCAGGAAACACATGTTGGTGAGGAGATGGAAACCTTGGAACCCATGTGCACCACTGGTGGGAATACTGTGGGAAATGGTTTGGCAGTTCCTCAGGGAGGCAGGTGGAGAATTAGCACATGAGTTGCTGGAACTTTTCCCCTAGAGGATGGAAGGCGGGACTTAGATGTCGGAGGCCCTGTTTCCTGTAGCATATTCACAATAGCCAAAAGGTGGGAGCAACCCAAGTTTCTGCTGACAGATGATGGACAAATTGTGGGCTATCCATACAGTGGGCAGTGCTCAGCCTCATGCAGGAAGGGGACCCCAACACCACCTGCCATGTGGATGGACCCTGAGGACAGTAGTGCTGAGTGAAGCAAGGCAGACTCAGAAGGACCCACAGTGCAGGACTGATACCACTTTCTCCCGTGCCCCAGAGGGGTTAGATTCACAGACATAAAGGAGAACAGGGTGGGGGGCAGGAGGAGGGCAGCTAGTGTTTGACGTGGCACAGCTTCAGTTTGGGAAGATGAAAAAGTTCTAGAGACCGAGGGTGATGATGGCTGCACAGTGCCATGAGTGTGCTCAGTGCCACTGAACTGTTCACCCAAAAGTAGTTAGGAAGGCACATTTTATGTGTGTGTATTTAACCACAAAAATCATATTTGTGACACATACACATACTCTGGGGTTCAGATTTCTGCAGCCACATGCCAAATTTTGGTGGAGTGTGGCCACACTTGTTCATCCCCTTGACGAGCTCCATGGAGGCAGCGGATCTGTGACAGACACACCCACCTTCTGAGAACCCTCGTGCCAGTCTCTGCAGGCGACGTTTGCCAGGCCTGAAGCCTCGTCTCCCGGGGTGGCAAGCTCACGTTCTAATGTCCCCCAACCATATCACTGAGACGTGGTCCCCATGCCATGCAGCCTGCTCATCTAAACTGTATGTTTCACAAGTTTTAGTATATTCACCATCACCACAGTCCTGTTTTAATCATGCTTATCATCTCAAAAAGAAATATTCTACCTTTAGCTGTCACCCCACTCCTGGTTCTACTCCCCAGCCTGGGCAACCACTGACCATCCATGTAGATTTACCTATTCTGGACATTTCCTATGACCAGAATCATGTTCTGTGTGACCTCTGTGCCTGGGTCCTTCAGCAGTGTGGTGTTCCTGAGGCTGGCCCATGCCACAGCCTGCATCAGGGCTAGGTGGGGTCCCATGGTGCAGCCAGACCATTCCTTATGCATTCTCGGTTGATGGACATTTGGTGATTTCTGCAGGAAATGCTGTTGTGGGCACCACACTTATTTAAGGCTGGGGTTCTTGGGATGGAGTGAGGGTTCCAGAGTTCTGGAACAGAAGGTGACCCAGACAGCATGAAGACCCACCTGCTCAGTAGAGAGCCTACCTCAGATCAGGGGAGGGGCAGAATAGTGTGTGGTGTGTGGGGCCATTCTGGGGAGTGTCCTGGGTCCTTAGGGAATAAGTGTTTTAAGGAGGAGGGTTCCAATGCTGTTTTCACAGTGTTGGGAGGACTAGGATAGGCGAGAGGGTGGAAGTGGACAGAGGTGCTGGGCAATGGGACAGAGCTGTGCCAGGTGAACAGGGCAGAAGGAAAGAGTTGTGAGCTTTGCAGACAAAGTTTCTGGGTCTACTTCCAAGGTTCTGATCCTGAGATCCTGGAACTCAGCTGTGGACATGGGCCCAGGCCAGACCTAGCTGTCCCTCACCTCATACTGAACATAGCCATGAGACCAGCAGGGGGAACACCCACCACCCCAGAGAATTCTGAGAAACTAGAAACTACAAGAAATCATTGTTTGAGCTTCTAACTCGTGGTGGTTTGTTGTGAGGGTCTCCAGGCCCCAGGATGTGGAGGGAAGTACAGGGTTTCCCAGGCCCAGTTTGCAGACCCCTGGGGTTTTCCTGGCATTTTTCTTGCAGCCTTGATATAGGCCGGTAGGCACACCAGACCGGTCCATCTCAGGCTGGGATTTGCAGTGACAGACAGGAAAGGAGGGGGTGCCAGGGTGAGCTGGCATCTGCCCGGGTTGGGGAACTTAGATCAGAATCAGGGTCCTGACATCTACCTGCATTGCTCCACTGAGCAGAGCAGTGACTGTGAACACAACCGGGTCCTCTGAGCTTTCTCATAAGCCAAACAGGGAGGCAGATGCCCACCAGTTCCCAGGCCACTTCACAAAGCAGGACGGCCAGGCAGACCAGCCCAGCAGAATCCTTCAGAGTGGGCTTCCTGAAGGAGGGGCTTCCACCACCCCAAACAGGAAAGCAGTCCACCCGACCATTCCCCGAGGTCCCATGGGTCGCCACCATCTGGTCCTCTGGGAAAACCGGGAAAAACTGGCCCTGCCCATAGCGCCCCTGAGGTTGGCTCGAGTTCCTGGACAGCAGCAGGATCAAAACTGTCCCATTCCCAGCACGTTTTGCACACTTCCTCTGTCCCTGTCCCCCCAGGACCCCCTGCCATTTCCACCCCACTGGCCAGAGATTCTCTGGCTATCCCACCTTCCCTGGGAGGGAGACTCCGCCTTCCTCCATGGGCCCAACCTCAGTGATCTCCAGGCCGAGGTAGGGAGGGAGGCTGGAGCCTAGCCGCGGTGGGTGGATGAAGCTGAAGGTGGCCCTGAGACAAAATAGTCCGGGGCTAGAAAAAGAGGGTCAACCTGGAACAAGAGGGCAGGACCCGGTTCGAGGGTGAGGGTGGGGGTGGGGATGTTACTGAAAATGGAGAGGGCTGCGCCAGGGCACGGGGATAGGCCTGACAGCCAGGCTTTAACTTGTTGGATGCAAACCTCCTGCCTCTTGAGTTCAAGGCGCCGCCCCGAGCCCTGAGGCTCAGGGTGCGCAGAAACCACCGGAGAGCTGTGCTTGGAGGCACTGGGGAGAGAAGCAGAAAGGGGAAGGCGTCCAGGACACCTGAACCTCCCAGCCTACCTCCGTCTCCAGCATGCCCTAAGCCGCGCCCCGCCCGAAAGGCTACGTTGGAAACCCCGCGTCCCAGCGGACAAATGCACGGGTCGAGCCCAACTAGGCACAGGTACGCACCTGGCTAGGCACAGGTGTGTGTGGCGGGAGCGCGCAACTCCAGTGGTGGGGGAAGGAGCAGGGAGGAATTGAGTGGACCCGGAGCTTTGTTAAAGACGCTCCTCGGGAGCCACGCGCCAGGCGTACGCGCTTCCTCCTTGGGGCCGGGCGTGAGGCCAGGCCGGCTGCCATTGGCCACGCGGGCGGCACACGATTGGTTCTGACTCTGGCCCCCGCCTTCTGAGCCCCAGGAGGGCGGGACTCAGGGGTGCGGGGCTGCCCCGCGCGTGCTGCCCCGGGGTGTCTAGCGCTCCTTGGAGAGGGCTGCTTGGGTCCTGGCCACGCCTTCCCTCCCACAGCGCGCGCTACGTGTTCGGAGAGCTCACGGATCCTGGGACTTGGTGTCTGCGCGCGGGGGTAGGGGTATGGGAAAGTTGCCCTAGGGACCTTCTGACAGCTCCTGGGGGTGGGGGAGGAGTGCACCTGAGACACGAGACCGTGGCCGGGAGACATACCCTCAGACCTGCGTACTTTGCTCTGGGGGAAGAACTGGGCACCTGCTGGGAGCGGGGAAGTGGGGGCGCACTGGGGACCTGCAGGTTGCGCTAGGGGGGCGCACTTGGGCTTTGCGGACTGCGCCCGGGGGACAGGGTGTGTGTGGGGAGGTGCGCTCGTTTGTGCTTTACAGAATGTGTGCGCGAGGGGGAGGGTGCAGTGTGGCGGTAGGGCGAGGCGAAGGGAGGGCGTGAGAAAGGAGGCGGCGGCGCGGAGGAGGGTTATCTATACGTTTAAAACTGAGTCGCCTGAGCTGCCCCTGAAGAGACCTGGGGAGCGTCCTGCCGCACGCGCGGGACACGAGCGTTCCACGCTTCTCGGCGCTTAAGGCCCGCCACCTCCCAGCCTCTGGCACCTCTTTGTCCCAGGCTCCCGAAGACCTTGGAGACTTGGCAGCGCAGTGCCAGAGGCCCCTCTGGGGCGCGACTGCTCCCCACACCGCTCAAGTTCCTCTGCCTGCACCTCCCTGCGGCGCGCTGGGACTCGGATGCGCGAGCGATGGACGGCTGCGCGCTGCTCAGGCCCGCGCCCCCGGCGCTCGGCGTCCCTGGGGGCTGTCCTGCCCGGCGTAGACCCCCGTCCCCGGAACTGTTGCGCTGCAGCCGGCGGCGGCGACCAGGCGCGGCAGAAGCCGGGGACGGTGCGGCGGCCGTGGCCAGGCGCAACGAGCGCGAGCGCAACCGAGTAAAGCTGGTGAACTTGGGCTTCCAGGCGCTGCGGCAGCACGTGCCGCACGGCGGCGCCAGCAAGAAGCTGAGCAAGGTGGAGACGCTGCGCTCAGCCGTGGAGTACATCCGCGCGTTGCAGCGCCTGTTGGCCGAGCACGACGCCGTGCGCACTGCGCTGGCCGGGGGGCTATTGGAGCCGGCCGTGCAGTCCTCTGCGTCCCGCAGGCCATCCGGGACCACTCTTGCCGCTACCTCACCCTCCTGCACCTCTTCGTCCCCAGGCCACGGGGGCAGCTCGGAGCCTGGCTCCCCGCGCTCCGCCTACTCTTCGGAAGACAGCGGCTGCGAGGGCGAGCTGAGCCCAGCGGAGCGCGAGCTGCTCGAGTTCTCCAGCTGGTTAGGGGGCTGTTGAGGTAACGGCGGCCCTTAAGGAGGAGAGGCGGGCGGGGCAAGGGTGGCGAGGTGGGCAGCCCTGCGAGTGAGCCCCGAGCCCAAGCACCCGCCAGGCTGAACGCCAGGCCCGGTGATGGCTTCGATTTCACTCACTCTTCATTTCCCCCCAACTTTGTCAAGCCTGTGCAAGACCGGCGTTTGTTTGTCCGGGATTGCAAAACTTCCTCTTGCGGCCGCGCCGCCGAGTGGGGGGCGGGGGAGACTAGGGGAGGGGAGCGGCCGTAGGGCCGGTGAGCTCCCGAGCGCTTGCGGGCCGGATTGGGGTGCTGGAGGCGGGGTGACTTTGCATTGCAAATCGCTTTCCCGGGCGGGCGGCAGAAATGAGTCGGCGGGTGCTGAGACCTGAGTCACCCGCGGCCCCGATCGCTCGCCCCGCCCCGCCCCCGCCCTGACTTGGGCCTCAGACTCCAAAACCCGCGAGGCAGATGAAACTGCCGATTCTGCTTGTGGGAGGTGGGGCCGGGCCGGGCGGGGTCTGTCCCGCGTGGAGCCCCGGTTGATGCAGTCGGTTCCCTGCCCTCCCCCAGCAGCCACAGCCCTGGACGCCGAGCGCCTTGACTGGGAGCCCGCAAGGTGGACCGGCCATGCTGCGTCCCCACTGTCCTGCTGACTCTGCCTCACCGTGTCCAGTGTGACCAGATGCCGGTGTGGAAACGGGTCGGTCTTGGGTCTCGGGCTGGCAGTGGGGGCTGACACCTTCCTCCACGCCGCCCCTCCTCAGGTGTTCTGCAATGGGGCTGGGGCGCCTGCATTTCCACGTTCTTCTGGAGGGGAGAAAATTTTATAAGGATTCGGAGAATCTATTTTCTACGTATTAAGTTGAACTGCCAAGGGACAGTGCTGGCAATACGAAGACTTATTTTTGTACAAAGACTCCTGAGATTCAGAGTACAATAAAGTTTATGTGGTCCCCTAACCTACCACCTGGGAAGTTTTCAACCTAGCCCAGATCTGGACAGAGCAGCCCCTGAAGGCTGGGTCTCCGGGGAGACACCTCCTTACAGGCGGATCTAGGGGTGACTGTGGGGCAAACCTAGATAAAACAGTTCTGTTTGTCAGTGGCACCCTGTCACCCATTTTCCAGGTGGTTCTAGGCAGATCACTTCTTCCTGGACTCTGCCAGCTCTTCTGTGGGGTGGGCCCAGAGGTGTGGATCCAGAGTCCAGCCCAGACACTGAATGGTACCAGGAAGTCCAGATGCTTCTGGCAGATGGTGGACTGGTGGGCAGCCTAGGTTGGCCTATATTCTGGCTGGGAAGCTGAAGTCTGGAGGCTATTGACCAGACCAGGACTGGGCTGAAGTGGTCTGATCTGAGACCACCAATCTACTCTCTGTTGAGAGCTCTGGGTCCAGGCTACCCATGTCCACATGTCTATTGCCCATTATCAGCTGGGCACCTGAGGCAAGTGGGGCTGCTGCTGGGCCCCCCTTCCAGCATGTGGCATGCTGCACGTGTGCCCCCAGCAGGCTGCAGAAGCCCTGCAGGTCTCTACCTGAGAGCCACTCTTCGAAGGAGTGAGGTTGGCTGGGAAGCTTGCTGAGGAATCCCCACCCACTGTACCCACCCCAAAGTCCAGAGCCCACTGGGATAGCACACCCGTCCACCTGTGCCCCAGGGCCTCTGCAGCTTCAAAGTCCATCCATGGCCAAAGCTCTCTTTCACTGCAGAGGTGGGAGGGGCTGGGGATCCCCAGGTTGCTTTAGGGTATGGCAGGCACCCCTTTCTTCAGGAGTAAGTGGTTGGGACAAAGCCATTGGCTCCTGGGAGGTGAGAGTGGCTGGTAGAGTCCTAGAACAGGTGGTTTCCGTGTAACCATGGCAACAGCACACACTCCTAGCTCCTAGGTGCAGCCATGTCAGACAGTATGACTAGGTAGGTCTCCCCTTAAGGAGGAGCAGGTGTCCTCAGAGCTCTTCTCTAGTCAATTGCAGCCTTGGCCTGATCAGGGCTCCTCAGGAGCCAGGGTCAAAGCCTACTCTAGCTGAGATCAGTGGGTCTAGTGAGGATAAGGCTTTTGGGGGTCCTCAGGCCAGCTGTGGCTTATGGCTACATGTTGTCATGGCCACCCATGAAGGCCACCTCCCAGGGACCCCCACACCCAGGGCAGGGACCTCACTGAGCCTTCCTAGCAGCGCCTCACCTTGACCCCAGGTGAGGTCACTAGGAAAACAGGGTGGTGCTGGGCTGGTGAAGGGGAAGGAGGAATCATGGGGTGGGGTAGGAAAGGGCTGCCCGTGCACAGGAGCTGGGGCTGGCGTGCAGCCATGGGACTGCCCAGAATGAGTAGTACTACCATTTTTGTTTTTCCATATTGTAGAAAAAAAAAAAAAAAAATATATATATATATAAAGCAGATTTTGGCCAGGGCTGGGTTTGAACCCGCCACCTCTGGCATATGGGTCTGGCGCCCTACTCCATTGAGCCACAGGTGCTGCCCCTTGTAGAAAATATTTTAAAGGTACAAGAGCTTTGAAATTGTGGCTTAGCACCTCCTCGCACATGAGGGTGCCAAGCAGAAGAACCTGTCCTCAGAGGGCCTAGGCCAGGCAGTGTGACTGAGTCTGTAAGTCTGCCGGTGGGGAACCTGGGAGAGCCAATGAGAGAAGGCACTGACAACCAACCAGTGTCAGATTTTGGACTGACACATGGCCTCTCCTGTGCCACCCACCACCCACTCCTGTCCCAGCACTGTTTTGAAGCAAATGCTGGCTTTGAGTCATTTCACCTGTAAAATTTCCATGTGTGCCTCTGAAAGAGACCCCAATGCCATCATCGCCTCCCCTGCAATGAACGATAGTCCCTACCCAGTGGCACAGTCCCCTGATGGTCTTGAAGTTTCATGTGGTTGGTTTTATAGAATCAGGATCCACCTTAGGTCTACACATCACATTTGCTTACTGGGTCTCTTCAGCATCTTATACATAGTTTCCCCCAATTTCTTTGCTGTTCTGTCTCAATCCCATATTCTGGGTGTTACTGATGGCACCATCTGGGTGTCATTTATTAAATGCCTGTTCCCGTAGAATGAGGGTGGGGAATGGGGGCGTCAGAAACAGAACTGCAGTCAGGTTCAAGTTTGGTGGTGCTGTGTCCCTGCAGTGACTGTGTCCTACTGGGAGATACGACTTATAGTGACCATATCACTTATTGTCCCAACAGGGACGTTACTGGGGAGTGTAATGGACTGTCATTGTAATTAACCAGGACAGCAGGTGTATCTGTCCTGGCCTGCTGATTTTGCCCTAGCTATAAAGTCCCCTCACCCCAAGCTGTCCTTTACTGACTGCCAGTCACTAAAGATTATGGGTCTGAAGTTGTAGGGCTTGAAAATCACAGGAACTATGTTTTAACCCGGGGAATGTTTTATTCCTAAGTCTTTGCAACATTGACCCTCTAGGAAGCGAGTCTCAGCCTGGTGGCTCTGCTGGCAGGGACACCCTAAGCAATTTAGTGTTCAAGGTCAGCGACCCCAAGTGCCCGGCCTGGCCCAGGCTCTGCTATGGGGGAACGGGGTTCTCCTGGGGCCCATGGCCCAGGCCTTGTCCCCACCTAGGAGATAGAAGCCAGGCAGGAGGTGCTGAATAAAGAGCTTTCCCCTTTCTCCATGTTTGATCTCTCAATTTAGGGTATTTTATACTCACTATTTAATGTTCTAAGTAAAGAAGAATTAACAGTTTAAATTATTACTTGAATTCTGTCATTCTTTCTATTGTGTGAAGCCGGTTTTAAATGCACTATAAGAACATTTAGCTGCTATGCAGGAATGCACCATTTGTATTTTGTAGCTGGCACGTGCACTCATATTTTGCCGTTGGGTGGAAACGCTCAATAGTTTTTATTTCACTCCTTGCTACCCTCAGGTTCTGCCTAAGTGCCCTGCCAGCTGCTGAGGCATGAGGAAGGAGAAGGGAGGGAGCCGTAGGGTAATCATCTCCCCCTACCTCTGTGTCAATGTCTTCAGCATAAGTGCTGAGCCAACACAGGAAAGTGGCATGAGTAAGGATTTGTTAGAATGCATTGTCTACCTTCTGCATTTGAAGCAAGTTAGGTGTGAATGGAAATGTGGCCCTCAGGGCCCCAGCCTGCCTGGGTATAAAGACAATGGTGTGACCATTGCACATACTTGAGTCTCGCTGGACTCCCCCAGCGAGTGGGTGGTGTTGTGGGTCCACTGCCACCATTTCTTATGGGCATCGTGAACGGGCCGTTTGAATGGGGTAAAGAATGGACATGTGAGTGGTGCCCTGCGTATTCCCTCTCAGGCTTATGTGTGTGCTCCAGTGTCTCATGGACCTTCACCGGCAAAACACACGCTCAAAGATAAAACTTTGACAATTCAGAACTTCAACACGGCAACAGCAGAGGATTAAACCAAGCTCAGCTCGGGGGCCTGCGGAGTCCTGCCATCGCCCCCAGGGCTGGGGCTAGGGCTAGGGCTGGGGCACGTGTGGGGAGGCCACTGCATCAGCCAGCCCCTGCCCTGCCAGAGACAAGTAGCAGAGCAAGTGGACCCTGTCAACTCAGGACGGGGTGGGGCCCCTGGTGCCCACACACCTGTACTACTCCTCCATACAGCTGGCTGTGTGTCTGTGTCTGAAGGTGGCCAGCCAACCAGAATGAGCCCTGGCAAGAGCTGGGAGCTGCCCCTAAGCCCTGCTGCGTTTGCCCTAAGCAGGAACATAGAGTCCATCCCTCAGGAACAGTCAGCTCTCTGAGTAAGTCATCAACGCGATGTGAAGGTGGGGGTCGTGCCCAGCCTAGAGGGCTGGAAGGAAGTCCAGGTGGGTTGTTCCATGAGGCCGGGTCAGCGGTCAGCAGTGGTCAGTGGTCATGAGGAGACCCATCTGCTTCTTTGCCAGCCCCCTCCATCCCGGCAGCACTGCCTCCAGGTACCCTGGTTGTGCATCCCAGGGTGATCCCCAGGAGGTAGGGCCCTGGAGAGGGGTTATTTGTATATGCTGGCCACCAGAGAGCAGGGAGGGCCCCAGGGCACTGAGTCTAGGAGACCAACTTTGGAAGGACTCTCTGGAAGGAAGAGGTAGGATGCTGGACGGGTGGGGAAGGGTAGGGGAACCCACAGGCAAGGCTGATGCAGGCCCTGGGGTGTCCCTGTGGGCTAAAGGGAGCCCTAGGATGTTGGGACAAGGTGGGTAGCACTCAGGAGGAGGGTCCCAGCCATAGACACGGCATTTGGGGGAGCAGAGCCGGGTGTTGGAGGGGTGAGGCAGGAGGGTCAAACTTGGTCCCATTACCCCTTTGCACAGCAGCAAGGGCAGTGGGGGACAGGTGGCTCCCTGGGGGTGCTGGAGTGGAGCCAGGTGGGGCTCTGCCATCTGTGTGCCCAGTGTGTGGGCTGCCCTCACTGGGTGGCTCAGGTCCACAGGGAGCCCATAGAAGACAAGAGGGAGCCTGGAGGTCAGGAGGACAGAGCAATAGGGAGGAGGCTGCCCACTGGGAGGGGCCATGGCCACAACTGCAGCGGCTCTGGGGCTGGGCAGGCTGCCCACCCTCCCTGCCCCCTCTGGTGTGTCTCCCAGACTCAGAGCACCAAGTGACCTGCCTGAGGCCCACAGGCATCTGGGAGTTCAAACAGCCACAGCAGGGCCTGAAGCCCCTCCCATGACACCTCTTTGGGCCCCTGGAAGGCACCATCCTTGCTGATCTTCTGATAAAATGGAGGATCTCTCTGACATGTCTCAGGAAGGAGCAGGAGGACAGCTAGGCCTGCCACACACCAGGCCTCCAGTGTGGTGGCCTGGGGCAGAACAGGTGGAGAGAGGGGCCATGAGAGCTGAATTGGGGTTTGGGGGACAGGAGGGAGGAGAGAACAGGGTGGAGGGTGCTGCCCATGGGTGCCTGCCTGTCCGGGAGCCCCCCACAGCTGCCCATTC